GGGAATTAACAAGATAAGATGAAGAGGCTAACCTGAAGGAAGTTGGATTCTCTTCAATCATATTAACTTTGTTGGATCCATTTCCTTTAAGAGCAGGTTTGGCTGGTTCCTTCTTCCGAAAGAAACTATTAGGAGCCAGGTGGTTGGTTCTACCATAGACATAGCAGAACTTTTTATCAGACTTATGGCTAGAAGAGTTAGGATTGGATTTGAAAGAAGATTTGTTGAAGGATTGCTGGTTTTTCTTGAATTTCTTCCTTTTGGGTTTGAAATTCTTAGATTTAGGCTTATCCTCTACCAAGTTCACTTTAGCTTTTGATTCGGTCTTGGTTTTGGAATTTTGACTATGCTGGTCTTCAATTCGAATAGCCTTGAGGGCTTCAGTTAAGGTTAGATCTCCTTGCTTATGCCGGAGATCTCTAGCAAATCTAGACCAGGATAGAGGAAGTTTATCAATCAGATATGAAACTTTATATTCATTAGTATATGTGTTTTCCTTTGATTGGAGGTGACAGAGGAAATCTTGGAATTTATGAATTTGTTCATTAATGGGTGTCATCAACCATCATGAATTTATTGAAGGATGAGGAAGTTAAACGCAGAATTTCGGCATCATCATAACCATATTCTGCTTTAAGAGCATTCCATAGGTCTTTAGCACTTTTGAGCTCATAATATATGTCATAAAGGTTGTCTGCTAGTGCACTAAGTATCCTATGGCAACAATGATAGTTGATTTCTTCTGGTTTCATAGAGCTAGAAAAGGAACTAGCATCAGAACCAGAAGTGGAAGAAGAGAGTTCAGGTTGAGGACCATAAACAGGAGAGTTGGAGGGTTGAGATCCACTGGATGAAGACTCAGGAGTTTCTATAACAGATAGAATACCTAAGGTGGTGAGCCAGTATCTCATCTGATTAGCTCACCGTTTATAGTTAATACCAGTGAACTTCTCAGGTTTGACACTCTTGGAATGATCAGGGTAAGCCATAAGTCCAATAAAAGTTTACTAGTTTAGGTATTAGGAATCTGAATGGGATAAATATTTTGTCAATAACGCTGGACCAGCTAATTAGGAGTATGCGTTTGATCAACAATTGAAAAGACTATGAGATTCTAATACAAAAAACAATTTGAACAATAATCCCATTTTAATTAACAATTAATTAAAGCAATATTTAATTTCCTATGAATGGTAAGATTAATTTTTAAATGAACAGTTAAATAAATTTTATTTTGTGAATAGTAACCTTTTTTAACAGAAACTAATAAATAAACAAATGAGAATTTGTAGTAATTATTTGAATGAATAGAAATAATAAATGAACAGTAACAGAAAGATGATTTTCTGGATGAACAGTAACCTAAACTATTTTTTCCCTTTTGTTTTATTTTATTTTAAATAAACACCAGCAACTAATTTTAATTATTAGTTAACAAACGAACAAGAAATTAAAACAAATGCAACAAACAGTTTTTATGAACAGTAACAGAGAGTTTTTGGATGAACAGTAATATTTCCCCCCCCTCGAATTAGTAAAATTAGGCAACAAATAAAAACTAATAATTTTAGATTAAGTTATTTTCGATTTAAATTAACAGCAATAATATATCAATCTTCTAGATTACTGTCAAAAAAGAGAATATTAGTATATAATCCAAAAATAAAAGGTCGGAAAATTAGGCTTGAATAGGAGCAATCGTGATTTCACTGCCCTAGAAGATTAAGGACTTGCCTATTGCCCTAGCGCAGTTGTAGGCTGTCTAAAAATTACTGCAGATAGCTGATCTTCGCAGATTCAACAGATGATAAAAGATACAATCTGACGTCCTTCACATCAACAAGCGGAAGTTACAATCTGACGACCTTCGCAAACAGTCAATGAAAGTTACAATGTAAAGACTTTCACAGCAACGTGTTAGAGTTGCAAATTGACAACTCTCACATTCCACAAAAGCCAAGTGTAAAGATTACAAAATAACAATCTGCACAGAAGTCAAAGGAAAGAGATTACAATTGACGATCTCTACGAATCCAAACGCGGAGGTTGCGAGACACGGAGGTCGTCAGACGCAGAGGTCGCCAGACGCAGAGGTCGCCAGACACAGAGGTCATTCTTTTTCTAAGTCAGTTAGAAAGAATAATGCATATTCAATTCTCGAGTTTCTAGTAATTTCCCACGCGTACAGCAGTCGATCCTCTCTCCCTTAGTGGTAAAAACCCCCGGTTCGGCCGACCTCTGTACTCGGACGAGAACAACAGAGCTTAAGCTTAGACGAAGATGGTTGCCCGAAAATAAAATAAATATAACCAATGATTTTAGAGAGGAATAGATCTCGGTTTTTCCATAGAGGAGAAAAGAAAAATGCTTTCGTTGTCTTTTTCCGAACTGCATCTCATCTGAATTTATAGGGTTCACAAACCCATAGCCATTGCTGGATCTACGCGTACATTCTCCTTAATCGCGTAACTCCCCGCGCCATCTCCGCATCCGTTATGAACGAGTCAAAAAGGAATTACAAAACGGTAAAATTTGTGTGCGATGTGATGAGACATGGCGCGTGGGCGTGCGGCGGCGATGTTGTTGGCCTTATTGTTTTGATGATGTTTAACAAACAATTTACTCCTAATATTTGTTGTCTAGTATTTGTGTTTTCGTATTTATTCTAGGCAAACAATGCGTTAGAGGATGGATGGAATAGAGCTTCAACGATCATATCTAATGGAGGTTGACGGAATTGTGGAGTGAAGCCTATACAATTCAAGTTAAAGATCCAATTACAAGCTTCATCCGTAAGTGTACCAAGTTGAGCTACATCGAAGATCAAGATCAAGCTTGTGTAATTTAGTTTATGAGTTTATATTATGTGTGTTAATACCTTAAGCTCAATATAATATACACACACATTTATTGGTTTCCATGTATATATATAATTATATATATACATATATATTTTGGTTTGATAGTTTTTAAGTTTTACTATGAAACAATTAAATATAATTAGAAAACATATTTTAGTTTCATACTTATATGCATATATATGATTTCATCAATATCAATTTTATTTAGTTCAACAAAATCATGTTTTAGTGCATTATATGTGTATTTTGATAAAATACTATATTCATTGTTTATAGACTTCATAACAATAGTTTACATCTTTCTTCAAGTCTACAAAATTATTTTGTATTGTTTCAAAACATGGTTAAGCTAAAATGTCAAAACTCATATGTTCACATTTTCATGTTTTGGACTATTTTGTAAAATGATGATATTTCTCATTTAGGAAGTCCTTTTAGAAAACCAGTTTTTGTAGCATGTGTATTATCATATCTACAATCATTTCCTAAAGTTTCATAATTTTTAAAATTTATTTGATATTTTTAAACAGTGTCTTAATTGCTGAGTGGCCCACGGCCCACTACCCACTACCCACTAGAACTTATGAGTGATTAATTCAAATAAAACACTTCTCGAACAAGAGACCTTTTGAAACAACAAAACATTAACTTTCCACTAGGCTACTAAGCATTTATGAAAAGTACTTGTAGTTAATATATATATAGTTTGAAAACTCATTTTGGAAAGCAGTTTTGACCAAAAAATCCAACACTTAACAACATAAAAAAAACTCCAAGTTCTTCGAACTTCATCAGAGTATCACTGTCAATCTTCAGTTCATCCCCAATGGCAAAACATAAAAAACCTTCAGCATTTTTTCCCCTGAGAGTCCTAGGGAGTCGCTGCCATCAAAATTAATTAAACCACCTTGAAATCAGCATCCTTTACTGTATAATTATCCAAGGATGGCTTGTGCTCTGCCATTTTCATCTTGTCATGAAGATTTCTAACCATGCTATAAATTGATTCACGCTCGCTAGGTGATTTATCTTGAACGAGAAACACACGAACCATGCTGCCAATTGCAATCCAACTAGATCCTTGTTGCTTCTTTTATCCTCTACTTCTCATCGGCGACCTAATTTTCTTCGCTTCCTCCCATTTCCCAGCAGAAGCATATACATTAGACAATAATGAATTAAGTTCCAGCATTATCTGGTTCAGCTTCTAACAATCTTTTAGCAGCTAAATCTGTCCAAGACGACCAGCACGACTACAGAGATCAACCAAGCAAGTATAATGATCTTTACTAACCTCAATGGACTCGTCTCTAACCATTGACTTAAAATACATAAGCCCATACTTGACCCAAAACAAGCAATTGCCAGAATTAAAACTTCTTAAATTCATAAAATTCAACTCGAGAGAATCCTAAAATAGAAATGCAATCAAAACCTGCTACAACTTGTAGCAGTGCATGGTCTCCACCTATATAATGGAGGGCTACATTGAAGTGAACGTGGCATGATCTCCACCTGTGGAGGGCAACATTAAACTGAACGTGAATTCAGCATTTAATGACGGGCCGGATAGTAGCAGTTGTAGTAGTTGCGGCAGTTGCAAGAAACAATAAAGGGTTTGTCCTGAGAATTTCAATTTATATTTCACCAGCAACCTCGGCTGATGAAGCAGAAGCATTTGCTATTTTACATGGGTTGCAATTATGCAAACGAGAAGAATATTCAAATTTGATTCTTGAATCAGATGCTATAAATAATAATGGGTTGCAATTATGCAAACGAGAAGAATATTCAAATTTGATTCTTGAATCAGATGCTATAAATAATAACAATAAGGTTATGAATGGCTCCTCGCATTCTCCTTGGAGATTTTCTCATCTCGTTTATGAGGCCCAAAGTTGTGCAAATTCTATCCAATTTTTGCAATTTCAGTATATCCCAAGAACGTGTAACCAAGCTGCTCACATAATTGCCGAGATTGGATTCAAATCTGGGTTGAATGGTGCTTGGTGCTTTCAAACATTCCAAATGAGATTTTAAGCTTTTTATGTATTTGCAACAATTCTACTTGCGTAATATAAGAAAGCTATGGCTGTTTCGTTTATTTAAAAAAAACAAGAACAAAAGAAGAACAAAACAAAACAAAACATAAGCCTTTCACCAACCAAACCAGAGTGACTACAAACTGAAAGCAATCTAAGTTTACATCATTCGGCTTGAAACACTTTTGTTCCATATCCTCAAAACATCGAACCGCTTCATAAGCGAGACCATGATGAACAAATGGAGCGATAATTGCATTCCAAGACACAAAACCCTTACGCTTTGATTCCAATCCCACCGCACTTTTGATTGAGCGATAATTGCATTCCTTGATCGCAGATTTGAGCCAAGAACCAAAACAAGTTAGTACAAACTGCTTTAATTCCACATTCATCCTCATCCCGATTTGGTAGACACAAACAACCACAGTAAAATCCCATAGCTAATCTCTAAAGCCTAAACAAACCGCTTTAATTCCAAGCACTAAAAACAACACTACTAGGCTTTAACCCAAATTCTTCTAACAGTAAAAACCCTCAACCCCCAAATCCATAGAGGGTTCGGCCCTGTCGCTTGAGGGCGTAAACAACATCCATAGCAGTAACCGTCTTCCTCCGGGCGTGCTCGGTGTAGGTGACGGCATCCCTGATGACGTTCTCGAGGAAGATCTTGAGGACGCCACGTGTCTCCTCGTAGATGAGGCCGCTTATCCTCTTCACCCCTCCTCGTCTCGCCAACCGTCGGATCGCCGGCTTTGTGATCCCCTGGATGTTGTCTCGGAGAACTTTACGGTGACGCTTGGCTCCCCCCTTGCCTAGCCCCTTTCCTCCCTTTCCTCGGCCCGACATTTTTGTTGGCGAATCCTTTTGATTTCCTCGGGTGCTTCCGCTTCAGGGATTTCGTGAGTTGGTGGTCGATTGGGGCGAGGTGGGTTTGGATTTTATAGGGGTGGGGTTGGGGGCTGGTATGGGAGGAGGGTGTTTGCTTGTGGAGCGTCGGATGAGGGGTCGATCCGCGAGAGAAAACTTGTGGCTGCTTTTGTCCGTTGGATTCGACGTCCTTCGTTGCTATTGGATGGAGGCGGAAATGCCGGATCGTGCTTTTTGTTTCGTAGTCACAGGTTTTGATGGTCTGCTCTTTCTCATATTGTTGGGCTGGCTCCTAATTAAGGAAGCCCAAGTTTTTATAACGCTATATTTTTAAGGGGCGTGTTAGGTTTGGGCTTGGTTTTGTTTTCCTTGTGTTATCTTTAGCCACGAAGATTGCGGGGAAATGAAAGCGCTCTCTAAAAAGCTAACTACGTATGAGAACATGATTTTGTAATAAAAGAGGAGTGAGAGGCTGGGCTGAAAAAAGAAATTTTTTTGAAAAAAAGATTGGTGAATTTTAGTTGAAGGTTCTATGCGCGAGAGGCAATCGGTTGATACCTTGGTTGAGGGGATTGGGATTTCTTCTATCCTATTTAACGGGAGCTACGAGTTGGGGCTTGCAACGTCATTAGGCTTTGGAGCTTACCTATGGGCCCATGAACCATTCAACCCAAGCATACAAAGGAATTAATATCTAGTACTTTCTAGGATAAAATCCATTCTTTCGGATATCAATCCCCGCATGTCTCATTAACTCCACGTGTGCCCAACTTGATAAATCCTCATTTGTATAATATTAAACTACATAGGACAATATGAACTTCTAAGTAGATATTATTTAGAGGGTAGATGTGGACTTAAAATATGTAGAAATAAAGATGGGAAATCTCTCCTTCATTCTATTGGATCTAAGATGCAATCGCGCAATTACTATCATTATTTGCTTAAACACAGATCACACGGTGGAACATAGCAAATAAAAGCCATAAATGATATAAAACAATATAAACATCACAAACGCAACTAACCTAGGAACATATGAGGTTTTATAGTGGTTGAGATAAACAACCATACATCCACTCTTCCTTTTTGCGAAGGGGCTTCCTCAATATGAAAACAGTTCACCTGAATTATAAACCTAATTCAGTGGGCTTTCAAACCGAAACGCTAGTTTCTCCCAAACTAGTCGTTTAAACTACTAGTTTCTCCCAAACTAGTCGTTTAAACTAACTCTTTACAATGAGATGGTCCGAGCCTTAGCTAGTCTCAACTCTTAATTCAACTAGCTTGAGTATGTCGTAAAAGACGTTCAAAGAAATACAAAAGTAAATATCATACAAGTTCAAAATTGTAATAATCTTACAGCCCTTTAGATAAAACAAACTATTCTTCGAAAGATATAAGCGAAGCTTGATGAATAACGAGGATGAAGATCAATCTAAGGACAACTCTCCTCGCTATGGAATAATCCAATGATGTTATATGCCGCAAATAAGAGTTCGGCAACACCTAGAGAGTTTGAAAATCACTTCTTGATCTCTAAATTCAAAACCATATACCAACACCCACCCCCATTCTCTATGTTTTTCTTTCACAATTAGATCAGGAAAGTGATGTGTGAAACATGGTGCAGTATAGAGATCATATAAACCACGAGCGGCTTCGATTGAATCAAAAAAGAAAAAAGAAAAAAAAATCAGGTGACTTTACCATCAATGGTTGTCGTCAACCATCAATTGTGTGAAGAGACCATCGATAGTTCAAATGTCTGTCGATGGTGCAGATGTCCAGAGACATCAAAATCATCGATGGTCGATGAGCACCATCGATGATTTTGATGTCTCTGGACATCTGCACCAACGACTGACATTTGAACCATCGATGGTCTCTTGACGCTATTGATGGTCGACGACAACCATTGACGGTCTTAGTGATGAGATCGATTAGCTTTTGAGCTTATTTTTGTGTCGTCTCAACTTGTACATGTTCCACACTTGTATTTACTTGTACTAAACTATCTCAAACCAATATTACTACCAAATGAGAGTTTATTATTACTCAAATAAGGAATATTGCACGGACAATGTCCTAACACATTCAAACTTCTAATTTGTATTTGATTCAGTTTTATGATAAAACATACTTACGTTTTAGTTCTCTTTTAAAAATTTATTTCTTAAATTTAGTACCGCTCATTGAAATTAAGGAACGAATTTTTGAAAGGACCTAGCCCGTACTCTGCAAGTGTGAAATAGGAACATTGTAGTTGTTGTTTTTGACCTACCTAAAAAACACACCTAAATTTAAGCACAGTGATGTAGAGTAATAATTGACTAAAAGGGAAATAAATCTTCCTAGGAGGTAGTATACATTGACAATTTCTGATAGATGTAAGGATAACTCCTAAAGAAAGTATTGCATGCCGATAGAAGTGAAGGCAGTGTTGATCAACTGGTGGTTGAATCGAATCAACCATTTAATCGAGTATCTACCTACTTGTTGTGAAACCCAAACCTGTGTGCAGGCAAGGAGCTCCGGCGAGCTTGAGATCCACGCAGACGAGCGTGGGCATCGACTCAAGCGAGGACAACGACAACCTTCAGGCGAGCTCGCGCGAGCAGACGAGCGTGGGCATCGACTCAAGCGAGGACAACGACAACCTTCAGGCGAGCTCGCGCGAGCTCGACGAGCGTCAGACGAGGTTGAGTCGATGGACGCGAGCTCGAGTTGACATCAGGCGAGGGCAAGCTCTTGTCGGTGAGCTCGAGCGTGTGTCAGGCGAGGATCGCATAGGCGAGCTCGTGGTCCCTTTGTAGGCGAGCGAGGGTGAGAATGTTGCAGGCGAAATCGAGGCTCGCCCGCAGGCGAGGTTGAGCGCGCGCTTGGCGAAGACTTGTGGTTTGATAGAGAGGAGCCACTGAAAGAAGATTGCATTTTGGAACGGAAGACGACCAAGACGAGGTGGGGGACGAAGGAGTCGTTTCTCATTGGACGTCAAGGTCAGGTCCCTAGCAAGGCCAAGTGGTTCAACAGAGAAGGAGGGGCTCGCGAGTTCCCTCAGCTGAAATTCTAACTTGAATGGGACTTCAAGTTCCTAAAGGGGGGCTCTCTGATACGGGTGTATCTTCTCTTCGGGAGCTTAGCGATCCTCATGGGAGCTTGAGGATAGATGATTCTCATGGTATCTTGAGAATAGAGTAGAGGAGTCATGGACGAGGCCATTGGAGGCGACGAAGTCGAAGGATTCGGCAAAACTGCAGGATTTGCAGCTAGACTCTGGCCGGTCGACCGGCTTGGTCACGGCGGTTGACCGCTTAGTGCACAGGCCCAGACTATGTCTCGGGACTGAGAGCGGTCGACCGATGAAGGCTCTGTGGTCGACCGGAAAACAGCGGTCGACCGATGGTGGCGCTGCGGTCGACCGGAAACACTGTAATCGATTTTCCAGTTTTTCGTCGTTCTGACCGGTCGACCGCCTTGGGCACTGCGGTCGACCGCGTAGCGGATTCGGGCCTGGGTCTGTTTCCTGCTCTGGTTGGGATTTCTGTTTAGTATAAATAGAAACACGACTTTTCTAGGGTTTAGAACTCAGATTGTAATCAGAAAAGAGATCAGGGAGGTTGTTCTTTGATCTAGAGAGATTGTGAGAGAGAGATTTTGTAAATCCAATTGATTCTCATAATCTAGAGAAGGTATTTTCCTTCGTCCTAATTATAACTCTTGTGTTCTTCAGTTGTTTTTCTTCTTTACCCACTCTTGATAATTCCGTGATCAAGAGTGCTCGCACGGCAACTCGTATCAAGTTAGTATCAGAGCATCAGATCCAGTGAAGGGGCATCCTGTGTATGGTCCTTACTCGGTTCTCATACAAGAAGCTTGGCGAGATCCTTATTTCATTGGAAGGAGTCTAGGATTTAAGGAAGGAGAAGATGGCTGAAGGAGAAAATTCAGCAAGGATTGATGCATTAGAGAAGCAGATCGAGACGATAGGGTCGACGCTCACAAAACTCGTCGGTCTCATCCAAGGAGGGAATGAAAAGGGGGAATCTTCTTCTAGGTCTAAGAAGAAACCTATAGAGTCTGGTGGAGAGAGCGAGCTTTCAGGCTCCGACGAGGAGGACGAGACCGTCAAGGCTGCACCACATCAAGGGGGTAAGAATTCTTACCAGAATCTGAAGATTGATTTTAGAGTGGAGATTCCTATTTATGATGAGAGTGTTGACGTCGAGAGGCTTGATGACTGGATCGAGCGGATGGAGACGTATTTTACTCTTTATGGCTATTCGTCAAAAGAGAAGATTGTGTTCGCGACTTTGAAGCTTTCAGGACATGCGTTGACGTGGTGGAAATCCTATTGCAAACAGGAGAAGAAGGCAGCATCGTAGAACAAGTTTAAGGAGCTACTTCGGAAACAGTTCTATCCGGTAGGATTCCTTGAGGAGCGTTGGTACAAGTGGTATGGCTTGCGCCAAAGGGTCAATCAAACCGTTCAAGAATACACTACGGAGTTCCAGCAGCAGGCGATGGTCCTTAACATTACGACAGAGGAATATTCCGTGTTCATGAAGTATATGGAGGGATTGAGCGATTACATCCGAAAGGAGATGAGGTTATTCACAGTCGAGACTATTGCAGATGCGAGCGTGAAGGCTATTGCCATTGAGGGCAAGCAGAAGAAGAGCAACGAAGCAAAGGGGGATGCAAAGCAAGTTGGAGGCGAGTCTAGTGGTTCTCAGCTTAAGGAGGAGAAGAAGAAGGGTGATCCAGGGAAAACAGGGCTGATTTGTAGTCACTGCGAGAAGACAGGGCACGAAGCTGATCGGTGCTGGGAGAAGTATCCTCATCTCAAGCCAAGAGGGTTGAAGAAGAAGGAGGAGAAAAAGGCATACATGATAGCTCAAGGTCCGAAAGAAGTCCCGGGGATGACCGAACCCAATAGCAGTCTCAACCTTATGGCGGGGAAGCAGGCCACCAAAGAAGACGACGACCCGAGAGAGCAGCTCTTTGTTCTTAAGTTGCAAGTGAAGACCAATTTGGTTGATGCCATAGTCGATCCGG